TTCAGATTGCACTGACAACGAAATAAGTGTTTTGATTTTCTTGTTTAGATATAAGTTAAATTAGAAAAGAATACTACGCGCATACTGACAAAGACAGACATATATAAACTAACATGTACAAACTCAGATACATACATAAACTGACATGTTACAAATTAACATTTTCAATAACGAGATTCATGTTTTCTAGGTTACAATATATTTGTTCGTTTAAAAAAATGTAAGGGTTATTTAAACAATTTTCAGTCGATAGTTCACTACCTGGCCGTTTCATTTTTAAAACTAGTTTTCTATTTTGGAACGAAGTTCCATATCGCGCGTTACACGATCTGAGCGGATGGGACCGAAAAATGTGTAACAAGACTTTTATCCGACACTTCAGTTGGCGCGTCGACGCTCACATCTATTTCATATTTCATATATACCAAACATTTACCAAAAAAAAAACGAAAGGAATTTTGTTCCGACCGGGGGTTCACATTGGAAGTCTCAACAAACAAACCCCACAAGTACCCACTAAAATGTCGAACTTTAATCCCCAGGAATGTTTAAATGTTTTGAAACATTGTAAGGAATTTATACATATCAGGAGAATACTTCTAAACATTTCTAACTATTAAGAAAATGGTGATTTCTTCTAAAAAAATATGCCGATATGTTTGACGAAAAGCAGTCTAAGACAAATAAATTCATTTGCAATATAACCGAAGAATTAAACAATTTTAGCATGTTTTGATTGTTTTTTTGTCAATTCGGCTCGTAGTAGATTGGTAAAGATCTAAACAATAACCTGTTTGATGACAAATGTTACTTGAATTTATTTAAAAAGAAGTTCGACTAAACCTTCGTTTAATAAGTTATATTCCCCACATTTCATACATTCATTATCCATATAATTTATTGTATTATAATGTGGCGATTGAGGACATAAATCATTTGCTAGTTTGTTTCTTTGTTTTCAATAAATACAACAATTCATAATTATAGACAAAAACTTCGTTGCGCAAATTCAGAAATAGTTATTATCGATTCGTAAAACTGCAGAAACATTTGTTCTTATCGCGACGCACAATATAACGTAACTTTATTTAAAACAATCGTTTATTAAAAATATACTACTCTACTCTTATTCAATTTACGAATCGTTTATTAATCACAGTATCATAATATCGATAAAAAGGTAATAAATAATATACTATAAGAAGGTATAGTAATTAGTATATTTTTCTTTTGAAGTTTATTTTTACAAACTCTGAACATTCTTAAATAACCGTAAAAAATGAAATAAATTAATGTGGAAAGCGTTAAAGATCTTTCTTAGTTTAGTTGTGTTTTTCACTACAATTGAATTGCGGGGTTCAATAGTGTCTTGTTGTTTTAAGCCTCTAAAACTAAGTAGATTAAATATGCATGCATGCGTTTATGCAACAGTATCATGCATGACAGAATAATTTGTAATTACTGTTGGAGTAAGGTAATCGTTATGCAATAAACGAGTCTTGTGAACGAATGCATTGTTTACTTAATACTGGTAAAATACACATTTTTTGATAATACATATTTGGTTTTAGGCATGATTTTTTAGATAAAGTCTAAAACCGGGATAGGTTATATGTATTATTATTATATATAGGTATATGAATCATTTTCGTTCGGAGACTTGTTTTCAATATTATGTTATTTGGGTTGTTTTGGGCTATATTATAAATGTGTAGAACCGGTCTTCTGAGACTAAAACATCAGATCGGATCACGTCGTTTTTGTACAAAAAAATAAAATAAAAGGTTTTCAAATTCCTGCATTATGCAGGAATAACGAATAATAAATATTATACTTTGAATAAAAATGTCAATTTTGTACGAAAATAAAAAAAAAGCTACCGTCTTATTGATTTTGTAATATTTTAAATTAAAAATTTATATTGGGAGTTCTACTCTGCCATTTGAAATGATGCAACAAAAATGAGAATCTTACGACACTGCTTCGGGAGCGTAAAGCCTTTTTTCCTTACTAACTGAAGTTATAAAGCGTATTATTGTGGCTTCCTAATAGAAATTAGAAAAAAACGATTCATCGCCTGTTTACGAGGTTATCGTAACACTTAAGAAAGTACGAAGTATAAGGCCTTGAAGTGAACAGACACTTCTGTTGCGTTCAACAATATCCACGTAGTTTCCTTTGTATTTTTTGTATAGCTCTGGCCTTAAGACTACTTTTCTGTTAATCTTAACTATTGGTTTTATTCGGTATTAATTTAAACACTCTGATATTAGTATAATACAATGTTTGAATCCTAGTATTGAAACGTGTTAATAGATATTTTCTTTACCACATGTGATATTGTATATGTATGTTTGGAGTTTTGATTCATCACCTAAGCTATTCCACTTATAGCACCAGTGCTCAATAAGGAACATTTTTTTTTTATTTCGTTCCTCATTCAGTACCTACCGCAGTTTCTAGTGGTGAGATGTATATTTTTGATAAAGTTCTTGAACAAAACTTGTAGATAAAAATCTTAATGCGAGAAGCCGAAAACCCTGGGAAAGGGGAAGAAACGGATTCCTATGTCCAGCAGTGGACTGCGATAGGCTGAAAATGATGATGGTTATTATACATTCAATCAGTGATAATTGTGTGATGAATACGATCATTTGTTGTGTCTCTGGGTGTAATTTATCCATAATATGTTATGTATTAAGAAATATTTATGAATGTTTATCTATACTAATATTATAAAGCTGAAGAGTTTGTTTGTTTGTTTGTTTGTTTGTTTGTTTGAACGCGCTAATCTCAGGAACTACTGGTCCGATTTGAAAAATTCTTTCAGTGTTAGATAGCCCATTTATCGAGGAAGGCTATAGGCTATATATCATCACGCTAAGACCAAAAGGAGCGAAGCACCAATGAAGAATGTTTCAAAAACGGAGAAAATTTATTACTATTGAGAGACGCAGACGAAGTTGCGCGGGTCAGCTAGTCATTTATAAGCAGTCTAGTTACCATAGTAGGTACAGGTTCTGCCTAGTTTGGAATCAGACGGCCGTGTGTGAGTTGTGTGAAATTATTATAACTACACATGTGGATAGGTATAGGCGTGTTTTGAAAAGGGCGCCAAAAAGCTCAAAATGCACAGCAATGTTACATATCATTTACAGATTATAAAAGTGGAAATGGCCAACTAAACTCCTGGTTTAGATCACACAAGAAACTGCTTTTATGCATTGAGGGAAAAAAACAAACATAATAATGGAAATGAATCATAGTCTGATAACATATCACAGCTACCGGCGAAGTTGACAGCAGCAGCAAGCGTGGATAATAAATTAATTAAGATAAAGTTATATGTATAAAATATTACTGTTGTTGTGTCGGAGGCTGTGCAAACTGTCACCTAAGGTCACCGTCTACATCAGTTTTCAATACCTGTGGATGGTTTAACATCAAGGACACTATATTATCCCAGTCCTCGCACCCTTTGCTAGAACAGCAGGAAAGACTCTTAATACATTGCCACCCACGGGATGAATAGGGGTGGTGACACTCCGTATTCTTAATCCGTCAGCACAAGAACAACTTCTAGTAGTGATTAAATACAGACTGATACCTCGCCCCCCATTGCCAAATTACTACATCTACATGTACATCATCATCATCTTATCGATCTGTTGAGTTTTTTAAAAGTACAACAACATCCGTGTGGTGACAGATTAAGAATACGGAATGTCACTTGAAACAAACCCTATACCAACGCCTCTGGCCAGCGTGGTATAGTAGGCCAAAACCTCCCTACTAAGGAGAGGCCTATGTCAAGCAGTGGACTATTATAGGCTGTTGATGATGATGACAACAATGATGCTGCGTATTAAATTATTAGTCATTCTTATTCTTATAAGAAGTTGGTATACATAACACCACTAACACAGTTATAAAAGTTTCAAATAAGAACTGTTAATTAAAAGGGGTAAATTTTTAGATCTCGTCTACCCCTAAAATCAGTTTTCATTTATGTTGACCCCCGGGAAACCGATTTTGAGCCCAACAACTGTGACAGTGACCCCAAAAACAGTGTTAATTCTGGAAATAGGACAGCAAATTCTCCCTCCCTCAAAAAAATATGAGAAATTTTAATTAAAAATTAAAATTAAAATTAATTATTATTTAAAATTTTACCAAAAAAAAATTTCTAATTTTTCTTTTTTTGTTAACAATATTTCTTATATTTAAATTATGAAATGGTAACTGTGACACAGTATAGTTAAAAGCCTTTGTCACGGGTACCAGCTAATTAATTATAGATATATTACACCCAGACATAGAACAAAGAAGTTGTGGGTTTGATTCCCTCCCAGGACAGATAATGTGTGATGAGTATGATTATTTAATGATCATACTCATCACACATTATTTGTCCTGGGAGGGAATCAAACCCACAACTTCTGGCTCTAGTCAGGTAGTAGGTCTAGTAGTGACCCTGACTGCTAGTCAGGGTCACTACTAGACCATCAGACCAATAGTTGAAAACAGTATTTTTAGCAGATTAACAGGCGTTGCTTATTTTGGGTCTAGTAAAGTGTATAGTATGTTCCCGGATATTATTATATTATTATAAACAAGTAATATTGTCAAAACAACTGTCAATGTTACTGAATTAAACCTGATGAATTCTCTTCTCATCACCATCAAATTTCTCATATCAGTATTTACTTTCAAGTGATATCTTATCTTTGTTTACTTTAGATTCCTACTAAACAGCCAACTTGTTATAGCATATATTAAGGATGTTAAAATTTCATACTTGTTACATCATTGGATACAACCACACATACACTTAAGAAAGACCTTATTAATAAACTATTGTTCAAATTGCATTTTCTTTCTATAACATCTATATCTAAACTTTATTAACAAAAAAATGAGGCTCCAGAAGATTTAAGCAATAATAAAAATTAATTGTTTTAGTGTTATTGACTGTTATCAATACAAAGAATTGTACTTACTAGCATTTATTAAGTTCGCGCTCTTGTATTCCACACGGGGGTCTTCAAAAATTTTAGTATGAGTTGGATTGAGAAAAGCCAACTGCGGTGGTGTTTTGTCTACAACACGAAGTCCGCTCACCAAGTCGTTTGATATCAAGTACTCCACGAGGTTCCGGCCAATGAAACCGCACCCTGTATCAGAAACACACGTACATTCGTATAAGAACCTTCTCAGTCCGGATGACTAACACTCTTGAGACCGTTACGAGAAATAAAAAAAAAACTACACGTCACTGTTGTACAAGTATAACGTTATCAATTTTAGAGAACTCTACATGATTTTTAGAGCAGTATATTAAGATTACAATTATCAATTACCTCCTAAAACCACAACTCGTGGTTTTGAATTATCACCGGCAAAATCAGACATTTCGCTAGCCGTCTCACAAAAATGAATGACAGTTAGGAAGTTGAATTGACAGCTGATGAAACTTTAAAAATAAAAAATGTTGCCAGCACACGCTATTTTTATCCTGCTTAAGTAGTAGGAATTGTTTGCACGGGCAACACGTCACGTGTCGTGAATATAATCCAACAACATACTGCACTATAATATACCTATAAGATCTTAATACATATTACTTAGATACTTAATATTTTAGTAATATTTTATCACATATTGAATGTAAACATAAAGAAAAATAGACACAGATCAAACTGTTAGATCAGATATAATTTCAATATTAATGACACCAACAGAATTGGTAGTACGAGTAATAGTTTTGTTTATTATTATAAAGATTCATAATATTAATTATAATATATTGTTATAATATGATAGTTTTATAGGAAACATTAGTAGTATTAACGACTAATGTTTCCTATAAAACTTTCCTATAAAAATAAATGATCTTGACGAACAATACTTCTATTAATGTTATTGACATATTATTGATTGAATTTATAATTATGATTTTGCCAATTTCTAAATAAATTATTGAGAAGTATAAACCTTTTCTTATATGTTAAAATAAGAGCTAAGAAGCTCATAAATTAGTTAGATTTACGAATATTTCAAACTTTGCAACACATCTACTCAGGAAAACTCACGAACTGACTGATATTGTGACAGCCAAATAGACTGTTTAGTTAGTTTCGTGGTATGCACAGAGTAAAATGAACACTGCTCTATTCGTACAATTATTTATAACTTTGACCTCACGGATGGCGTAGTGGTTTAAGCGGTCCCCACACCGCTGGGTTACATGGGTTATATAGCCGCTCACTGTAGATACAGGTAGATAATAAATAAATCTTAGAGAAATTCTGTTACGTTAGGATATTGTTTTACGTTTTGCTGTCTGATTTACTGGTTCAGGTTCATACCTGCGAAATGTACAACATAAGTGTTACCGAATATTCGGCGCTTCGGCCAAGAGACGCCCCGAATATTCGTTATTCGGTCTACGGCCAAATCACTATTCATCAATCATCATCAATCATCATCATCACCTTTCTGTCACCTATGTTTTATTATCAGCTTTTGTACAAATATTTTAATAACTTTAATTTAATTTTAGCTTATTAAACTATTTAAAAACTTTAACTTAAAGATATTTGCATACAAGTTAATGATTGTTGAGATAGAGCGCATAGAGTACCAACCCTATGTCATGTTTTGTCATAGTCCAAGGTAAATTACATAAGCATCCAATATCGCATTATAGTTTTTATACTAAATCGTTTAGTTGGTCCATAAAATAGTAGATTTTGAGTTTTCACTAACTCTCGTGATACGCTAAATTCTACGCAATTTAAAATTGCTAACAAACCTTTGAAATTCAAAGGTTTGAATGTTCCATCTCAGCACATTGCGGAACATAAGATTTGTCTTTTTATTAATAAGATCAAAATTTTGAATTTGATTGATTAAGAAGAGTATTCTAAAGAATGTAGGTTGCTGATGATGTAGGGCCATACATATAACATAAATACATGGAAAGTGTGTTTTTCAACAAACATCAAAAAGTAATTACCTAGATGGGTACAGATGTAAAACTCTTTGCTGGTAAAACACCGACTTTAAGAGCAGCAGGAAAAAAATATTAAAATAAGTACGATGTAAATAAGATCAGATAACGATGTTTTAGTTGTAGCTTGTGTTTCCCTAACATTACTGATAGGTTGCTAGTTTGATAAATGAGTAGACAACTTTAGTTAATTTACTTATATATTAACTTAAGTCAATTTAACGATTAGCTGACATATTATCTGTAACAGGAAAATAAATAGTCAAGCTTCTTACATTAAGTTGTGTATTCTATTAAATAAACTGGTTTAAATTTTTTTGCTTTTTATTATTTTGGAGGCAAACGAGCAGACGCCACCAGTTAGCCACTTTCCTACAAGTGAACCGTCTGGTTCACTTGTAGAAAAGAAAACACGGGGTACAGCTGCCTGTAAGTGGAAGTCATACAGGCAACAAGAGAGAAGGATGCCCGATATTTTCCTCTGTCTCTGTTTTGCTAAGCGAGATTGGATAATTATTAACTCCTCATATTCCCCATCTAACCACAGAGCTCGGCTAGGAAGAAATATTAGTCCCTGTCTATTATCCATCACTCTCGTTTGCCTATATTGCAAGATTGGGGCTCTTGTTCTCTCTATGCTTGCAACTCAGGAGTCACACGTGCCTTTGAGGTAGTAGAACGCTGTTTTCTTAAAGGTTTGTTTAATGCTGACTTCTATTTTTTTTGTGATCAGGCGGCAAAAAGGCTGCTACCAGCAGTCCAGCTAAAAAAAAACAATAATTAGGAACAATATACAGTTCTACATATTATATTTACATTTTGATTGACATTGGTTAGAATCCAACTTCCTTGTTCATTTCTTTATGTTAGTTGCTGTATGTAATCTACTTGGATTTGGTTTAAAATTTGGATTAAGCACATCGAGAATGCTGATATGTAACTTATGATTTTGATACATACGAGGGTGCGTTTTTAAGTTCGCGGAATGAGAGGGTTGGAGGGGGGTGATTAGGCTCATTAGAATCGTCACGTGTTCAGTGACTCATAATTAGTATAAATACCAGGTTTCATTGTTATTAGACAATTAGTCTTTGAGTTATCGTCAACCAAGCAACATAATCGGGAGTGAAAAGTGAAACATGGAAAAAATCGAATATCGTGCCGTTATAAAGTTCCTTACCAAGCAAGGAAAATCAGTTGCGACCATAATGAATAAGATGTCATTGGTTTACGGCGACTCTTGTCCAGGAAAAACCATGGTGTACAAATGGCACAGTTTATTTAAACAAGGAAGGGAATCCCTTGAAGACGACCCGAGGCCGGGCAGGAGCATCGAGGTGATCACGCCAGAACTTATCCAAAAAGTCGAAAAAATAGTACTCGACGATACTCGACTAAAGAAGAAACAACTCGCAGAAATGGTCTGAGTATCTGATACAACCATTTTTAGAATTCTGCACGATCATTTTGGCATGAAAAAGGTCAAGGCCAAAGGTCAAAGGCAAGCCGAGAATGCTCACGCCGACGCAAAAACAACAGCGCGTAGAGTGTTCACGCGCATTTTTAGACCTTTGTAATGAAGACAAGGATGCTGTATTGAGTAGAATTGTTACTGGAGACGAAACTTGGGTTCATCATTATAAATTACCAACGATGATGAAGTCAAGGAGGCAGTTTCGGCGTATTTTGAAGACAAAGAGAAATCATTTTTTTATGATGGGTATAAACAAATTAATTGAAAGATCTGAAAAATGTATCCGTCTTGCAGGTGAATATATTGAAAAGGAAAAATAATTAGATTTTTTTATTTCCACCCCTTATTTTGTTTTTATGTTCGCGGAATGGGGGCATTCCGCGAACATAAAAACGCTCCCTCCTATAAAGTGCGTATTTCACTTCAGAGATGAAAAAATGATAATTTTTTTTTTATGCTTACATATATTTAAAGCTATAAATCCACTCATCATTGCCGTACAATGGTTTGCCAGAAGATTGCCAATCAATTGCACGCTGATAAACGCAAACCCACGGGCCACCACCACTGAGAGACATGTCGCCATTCCTCTGCAATAAGTTAATAACAAAACGTTGATATAAAGGTGCTACGTTATTTTGTAGTCCCATGTAACCGTTCAGTTCTTAGGTTTAGCCAGTGGGTCTACTGGTTAGTGACCCTGACTGCTAAGCCATTCGATTCCCAACCAAGACAAATAATTTATAACGTAATACGAGCGTTTGTTTTGTGTTTGGGTGTAATTTACCTAAAATGTGTGTATTTAGAAATATTTCAGTATGTTTATCAGCGGTCTGGTCACCATAAGGCTCTGCCTAATTTGGGATTAGACTGCCGTGTGTAACATGTGTGAAATTATTACTATTATTCGTAAATTATTACTACTATACTATTATAAATTATTTCGGCACAGTAAAAAGAGCTAAACTTCACTATTGCTTGCAATTTTTCTACCATAGTAGGCGGATAGAACATATTAAGAGTAAAGTTACTTTCATACCTATCTACCAATATTTTTAAGAAAAACACAATTTCTACCAATTGACTATAATAGGAATCGAACAAAGTTAGAAATATTTCATACGTACCGTAAATGTGTCGGATTCAACTCCACCAAGTACGTATTAATATTCCCCAAAATCAGAGAAACATACAGGAAGAAAAAGAATAACCCCATGCTTAACAAAGGTATTTTCGAAAACAGCAGCAGGATACCACACACGATCGCTATGACAAACACCATAAGTGTGGTGAACTTCTTGCCAAGAGGACCAACTATGAAAGATATAACAATTCCCAGGCATGTTGCCATTGCGGAGTAAAACATTACTGCGTAGAATGTTAATGGCTGGATGATGTGGTCACAGTCTCTAGAAGCCTGAAAGAGATGAAATAGCAACAATGATATAAGATTTATATTAACAATACCAAAACTACACATTGCGTTTTAATTTTATTACAGAAATGAATGTGATATTCACGTACACAAAAAAGTAACCATCTAGTACCACAAAAAAGTAACCAACCAGTAGTGCCATCTAGTCTGGCAACGTGAAACTAGAATTATCTAGTTTCACGTATCAACCAGGAGTTATTAAACTCCTGGTTCTGTAACGCGCATTTAAAAATATCGAGTTTATCTTTATAGTAATGTACCCTGCCACGCTTCGCTGTAGCTTATTGTTGTTGCATTGATGAAATGATGAAATAAAGAACAAAACTGACGTGAAAAACAGGTAAAAACGATCTTGGAAGCGGTTTAAACCCCCTTTCTAAGGAGAAACCTATGTCCAGCAGTGGACTACTAAAAGTGGTATGTACATCTTGACAAAATTTGAACTCAATTGGTGAAGAACAACTTAACATTTTCATAAAATATAGATTTGTAAGTAAATAAAAAAATATCCTTTTCAGTTGGAAAATGTTCAACAATGGATTACCGTTTGGTGATTAACCGCACTGCGACTGGAAACTTCACAGAAGCTGCGGCCTGAAGTATCTTCACCCATAAAGAACTCATTTGTCATCGTTGGAACCCACATCGAAAAACCAGTACACCTGAAAGAATGTCATAGAAGTTGAAATGAGTCGTTACCTACCTAACAAAACTGTATTTTTGCAAAGCTTAGGTTACTGAATTTAGAATATTTTTGTTCTCTCTTTATTCTACGTTCTTATAATACACAGAAATTCATGACGTGGGTTTAAGTTTTAGAAAATGTGAATGCCTTATAAGCGGTGAATTTTGATAGTCTGTACTTGATTTTTTGTCTTTACATTAAAACATTAAATTGCTCATGTTTGGCAGTTAACATAATTAGATATTATGTTTACTATACAAAGTTATTAATATAACCCTATCGTCATCTGCCTACACCTTTTCCACTCTATTATTCGTAATTCTACTTGTCCTTTTCTAACCTTGTCGTTTAAACTTAGTCCATCTCTTTTCTTTGGGTGTCTGTTAATCTTGAACAGTTGTACCCCTCAACTTTTACACATTTAACATTTTCCAAGCAAGCAAGCAAAATGTAATCGCTTACCCCTTAGTCTACCTATCTCAGTCACTCGTACTTATCTGAGTTAGCAAGTTTATAAGGTTTTACTTTATACCTTGATTTTTAGCGTTTAATAAACGCTCATAACAACAACAGTGGTATTTTTTACCTAACTTCAACTATGAGCAAAGGTTTTTGGGAAAAACGTTTTAACAGCCCCAACACACCCGGTTAGTCTATCTATATCTATACAAATAAATAAAATTGGAGTGTCTGTTTGTACTATTAAAATAACCGCTTTTTACTTAATGCATATGTATGTTTACACGGTACATATGCCAAAATAACATTTTTTACAATTTTTGTCTGTCTGTCTGTCTGTCTGTTTGTTTCGGGACTTTCACTGGCAGATAGCTGATGACATAAGGAGTAACTTAGGCTACTTTTTTTAGACTAGCTTCGCCCAGCGGCGTTGCTCGCGGTTATAACAACAAACGCGGGTAACACCGCGGGACTCAGCTAGTTGCTTCTAAAACTTTCATCCAGTAGCGTTGCATGTATTCTATCTACTTAACTATTACAAGTACATTATGAATTTTATTCTTACGTCATATAAGCGCATAGCAATATATAATAAAGTATGATGGAATTCTTTAGCAGTGGTGGTTTGAATAGAGGCGCGGTCTGGTTCCATATTTTTAGCAACAGAGACGTCCCACCTTCTATTACCACTATTTCATCGTCTAGGTACACATGTGTCACCTGAAAATCAAACAATAGTACTTAAAATGTTGTAGGTTGCTACTGAAATTACGGCAATTGGATCATAGCAACTGTTTTTGGTTTCTTCTAGAAGATTCTAAAATTAAATATTATGTAGGGCATTTTAAACCTCATTTTACCGCATACATACGTAATCGGCAAGGCACATATGACTCTTGAGAAGTGATCATGGGCAGTAACCTGTCTGCTTGTTATGTCCCCTTTTTTATTATACATATTAGGCATCACAAAATCACAATCACATGATACTAATCATATGATTTAAAATTTATTTCAACACACCTGTGACTCACCTAAAGCATCACTGTGAATTATTATTATTATTACGTTAGCGCCAGACTCGCATAAGGTCAAAATCTAAAATTGACTATAACCAAATGTAAGTTGTGATATATCACAGGTGTAATCACAGATACCAAAATCAATCATTTCATCCGACGAATATGATTTATATGTAGCAATAATTTCCTTGTCTGATACATATTATAATTTAGCGTACGATAAGTGGTAAGGGCGCTAACTATAATAACTATACATCTTAGACTTGGACCACACCAGATTCTTAGACCACATACATCTTAGTCGCTTGCACCTACCGACTATTACTTTTCCAAAATTTAGACAACTTTTTAGTGGTTAAAAAATTCAATTCCCGAGAGGCAGTACAAAATGCCTTTGAAGAGTTTGTTGCCTCCCGTCCAGCTGATTTTTACAAGAAGGGCATCAATAAACTGCCAATGCGTTGGCAAAGATGCGTCGATTGCATGGGTGATTACTTCGAATAACAGAAATAAAAAAGTTTGAAAAAAATAAGTACTTTCACTTATTGCATACAAAACGGCAATTTCATAGGTAAATACTTATTATAATAGTAATTTGTGTCGTAAGCAATCTACGTGAAGTGTATCACGATTAATTACTGCTTACCTTTTTTATTCATAAACTCAGTTATGTGATGTGTGTTACATCTTATAAATAAATAGTGAAACGGTGACAGTATGTCTAATCCAGGTGCTAGCCCTTTTGGCCGTAGCCAATTAATGCGAAAAAGCCCTCCGCCAACGACCTTACAACAGGTCCAACCTATAGATGATCCTCTGCAACCGCCTAAGGACAATGATCACCTGCTTACCGAAGTCGTAAAGAACGCAAGAAATCCAGGGATAGATGGCATTAATCGAGGCCTTAGTAAAAGAACTTTATACCGTCGTCGGAGATGGTAAAATGAACTCTGACCAGAAGCTACGAGTCACAAATATTTGCCTAATAGTTGCTCATGGAACATCCAATATGATAGTGATGTATCAGTCTTTGAAGCATAAGACTATACTAGCGCAGACTACCACACATAACTTTCAAGCCCAACAGAACATCTCGAGCACATTACAAGATTTTAAAGAATTGGTCGAAGAGAAACTAAAACCTTCAATCAGTCCATCAAAAAGTTCTTTTGCTGACGTGGTCAAAAAGGGTGCCCATTAGTTTATCCGACCAAGTAACTTAAGCTCTCTGGCAATGTATCCAAATCATAAAACTAAATTTAGCGACGACATTGCCTAATTTTGCGGGGTAACGCTGCTAAGACCATTTTACTCCCACAAAGAGCAATACCATAAGTATTCACCTGTCGCCCTTTTAGGTTCCCTACTCATCAACTCTATCTGGAATGCAAAGTATTAACAGTTCGACAGTTATTTATATTGCACATCTTACTAAAACAACACGTTGAACTACCATTTCTCTTGTCTGAGAACATAGCATATGTTCTCAGACAAGAGAAAGAACTACATTGTACATATGTGTCAAACCCCAAACAACGCATACGTACATTTACAAATTTTATCCCTTCTTAGTACCATATCTATATAATAGGATTAACAAAGTTTAAAAAAAATATGCCTTATCGTAAACAAAGTGTCAAACTCTATAAGGAGAATATTTAGGCAAGCTTAATTACGCAGAGGCACAGAAGACATCTTAGCACTTTTAAAATGATATAATTTTAACTATAATTAGGTTATTAAACAATAAGTAATATTTTTGTATACAAACCAGTCTGAAGTTATTTACATTATCCGCTCGTATGCCCCTGTCATGGCGCCCGCGGCGTCCAGAGTGCCCGCGACTCGCGAGCGAGACCGTCTAGATTGCCCCGGCACAAATACCGACCACCCGTAAAGTGCCCCACTGTTTTTTGCGTTATCGACGCGCGCGCCGTGTTCCACTTAATCGGTTCTTGTGACTAAAGTTTGTATTGAAAGGGTGTCAAGTGTTATATTTATTTAGTTGCCTATGAAATTAGCTAAACAATGTTATCTTTCTATTTACAGATTACGGCTCTGGTGTTGAGTTACACTCTGTTGAAATTGAGTTAACGTCTTTTTAAGCTCGTGTTGCACTTCGAAGCTCATAGTTCAAAAATGAAAGCGATGACCTATGGTTTTTAATGTTTAATTATGTTGTTTAGATAGTAGTTAATATGTTATGAAATAAAACCATATACTCTCCCATACATATTTATTTATTTACAGGCCTCTAAATCCTTACCATTATCGGCCGCCACGCGGCATAATTTATGTAAGATGAAATGACAGAAGTTTTATGACGTATAATTCTTTTTTTTACTAGTGTTTGCATGCTCGACTGAGATTAATACCATAGATAATATATCAGACTATAGAAAAAATATTACTAAAGAGCATTATGTCAATACAATTACTGTCAAATACTAATTAATCTGTGGCAGGAGCCATGTAGACTACCGGTCTACACGGGCACTTTACGGTTTTATTTTTGTAGACTACTAGTCTACACGGGCACTTTCCGTTTTTATTTTTGTAGACTGCTAGTCTACACGGGCACTTTAGGATTTCGTTTTTGTAGACCACTAGTCTACATGGGCATACTAGCGGTTATCAATCTATTAGAACTTTAACATATGAACGTCCTGTAACTAACATAGTCAAGCGACTGCCTGAAACACAGGACTCACACCTAGCTCAGGCCGTTTGCAAAATAATTTTTAAAATTTTGTTTTTACCTCTTTATATTAAATCTTGCACAGTGTAGGATAGTCATATACTATTTGGTAACAAACTTTATATAAGAATCTAACGACAATAAGATGAAAATCATATACAAAATGTAACTAAGATTTTATTCTGATTCTCAAATATTATTTTTTCTTTATCTTTATTTACCTCGTACTATATGACGATTAGGAAGCATAACTAAAGGTTAAAACCGGTGTTGTTATAAAGTAGTACGTATAGGTACTCAGAGTAAATTACTAAGTTTGTATATAAAATTTCAATATTTGTTTTGATAAAATTGATGTGAATTTTGCAAAGTAAATGAAGGATATAATTCAAATGTACATATACGTATGGCTCATTATTTTAACACATTATTCAGCAGTTTTTTATAGAACCAGATAAGAGAAACAAAGCACGTGCACAGGCTGTGCACGTCCCAATAGCACTTAAATTTTGGATAAATGACATAACTTGTAAATTACACAATTTGCCTTTATGTTATTTTAGTGTATTACAGTAGGATGTCCTATCACAAAGTAAAATACATTTTCACACACAAGGAATGCAACTTACAGGGTATTCGTTCTTTTCAAGTCCAGTGTTCCATTTGAATATATTCTGCAAAACTGCGAGCGCTTCGTAGTTTTTACCTTTACTTAGAAGGAATTTAGGACTCTCTTTCAAGATCAAGAGATTTAGAATACCAATGACTGCAGGCAAACTGATTATTTGCATCAATAATCTCCAGGGCCTGTAGTCCACGTTCAACCAGGATATCTCGTAGTGAAATGTTAATTTGTAGACTGGTATAGCAAAAACTGTTGACAAAAATTGCTATGTACATATGTATGTTCACAAATAAAATAAATATTTTTAAAGAATTTTGCACAATACCGTTTTCTGCGGTTTTCAGAATCATATTTATCAATTCACCTTTAGTAGATGTTTTGAAAGTCCCATGTGGGGATCGAATCCATAATCCAAAAAACACTACGATATCTTAGGACCCTTCTTAGACTTTAAGACCTGAGGTATTTTAAAACCTGCTAACTATTGGCAGCATGCATAATTATACATATACATATCAGTCCATAAATTTTGAGTTTATATTGGGATATCGCGAATGAAAAATCAGACCCTCGCGATATCCAAACGGGGATATCGCGAGTGTCTAACGGGAACGGAAAAGTTTTTACTGTTTGGAATGGGTTAAAATAGCAATTTTCTGTTTACTACTTACGGCATAATAGCAACTGCGTAGACAGGGTGGCACTAGCCATAATGAACATAAACCGACTGCGATTCTTGGAGGACACGCTTTCCCCCAACAGAACGAATGCCGCCGCATTCGCTGATGATGTACTAGAAATAAAACGATTGTATGAAAGCGGTTCTTAATACTTAATTAATTATTATTATTATATTATAATTAATTGTGAGGTAAACAAACATATAAGTATATGTTTGTTTACCTCACAATTCTTAATAAATAACTGGGTATTGACTTCTGTCTTTACTCATCTCACAGATTGCCATACCTTCATTACATAGAGGAATATCACTGTTGAAACGTGATAGATGCAATTCTTCTTAATAATAAGTCTTTTAGATGCATTGAAGGTATTTGTGTATTATCTCGTTCTTGCTTTGGTCTTTTAATTTGCTAGAAATATACTCAAAGAACTTACAACGTGGCTGAGAAGAACTTAAGTATCGCTAATGACGTGTACCCAGGTGCCATGCTAGCAGCTATGTTGAACAAAAAGCCAATTGGCATGGCTATCAGAAGGGTTTTACGTCGTCCTATTGTGTCAGCCGCTAATCCCCAGACGTACGACGAAAACATTACACCTGAAAAAAGATTATCAGGGTAATCCATGCTAAGCAATTCCTTCGTCACTCTTTACTCACTAAAAAAAGTCCAAGTCACTCCTCCCTTTGAATCTGGAACGATTCAAAAAGCAACATATTTGTGACTCTTGAGTTGCAGGTGTTCAGGCCACTCGTTTGTACTCCTATGCCTAACTCTAAACTATGACACAAACCTAACTATGACAGGAGATTACCAAACTCACGAGGTCCGGTCCGGAGGACGGTTAAAGCTCACATGGGCTGCCTACTCGAAATTGGACTTTGCTTTCAAGTTGAAAATCTCTGAGGAACAAAGAGCCAGAATATTCAACCAGAAGACAATTTCTCGTATTAAAAATTCGGCCACAATTCAGTTCCGATCAACAGTCGATCTCGCAACTGTCCCAAAAGGTATTCTTGGGCCTTCAGTGCACACTGCCAGTGCTCACTTATGGTGCCGAGACCAGGGTTTTCACTTGAGACAATAAGACTGCTCAAATATAATAAACTAATCATACTGTAAAATGATAAACAATTTAGGCAACTTAAACGATTAAAGTAAAATTAAAGATTTTTCTATTTAATCAATCTTTGCAACTATTAAATACCTATATTACTTATTCTTAATGACAAAGACAAAGACATTTATTGCAAAAAAACTGTGTTACATATATAGATGTTTTGTGGTAGGTAAAGTTTCAACAGTTACCCAATCGGGCATTGCAATTTTAAAGTACAGTATAAATAAAAATGGAAGATGGAGATACATTTAAAATCAAAAGAAGACATGTTACATTTTACAAAAATACACAATTCCAGTATATAAATGCCAGTAAGTGTCAGATAACCCCTTTCAGAAAAAACCGATCGTAAAGATTCTGTGCTATGCATGTTATAAATAGTGCGCAGACATTTTTTTTGTAAAATGAATGTTGACTGAATTTCAGTTGAATTGCCCCAATATATCACCCCATACGTTAGAAGAGGGCACACCTAACCAAAGTAGGCTAATTTAGCGGTTTCTGTTGAAGTTGTTTCAGCAAGCACAGATAAGGTGTAGCTAAAAATAGATAATTTCTTGTTTATTTTCTCTAATGATAGTTCATATGATTTTTCAGTCTATCATGATACGGCTGATCTTCCATTTTTTACGAGGGGCGACTGCCATCAAAACTCCACAACCCAAATACTAGGTGATATCGAAGTTCTGTAGAAAGAGTGTTGTCGGACTTTTTAGGGGCTTCAAATGCTCTCCGAGGCAATGTGTTACTAATGATCACCCATCGATAGACTGACCTAACTAGGATTGCTTAACATTGCAATGTGTTAACCTACTCGGTTAGCTCTTAGCTACGAGCCCCCGATGATAGTTCATTATATGATACTTCCATAAAAAAACAGACGTCATTATTTAAAATTAGCATTTATGATTTGACAATTCATTGAGGTTATCTTGGTATGGACATGTCATGCGGAGGGATGAGGAAAATGTGTCGGAGAAAGTGTTAGGTATGAGAGTTGAAGGGTACAAGAGAAGAGGCAGACCGAAGAAGAGGTGGATGGACTGCGTCAGGGAGGATACGGCTAGGAAGGGAGTAAACAGTGAGATGACGCGTGACAGAGTAGAATGGAAAAATCATACATACTGAGCCGACCCCAAATAAAATTGGGAAAAGGGTAGGCAGATGATGATGATTTGACAATTCATTGCATTTTTGTATTAACTATGAAATAAATGTAGTATTTGGTAATCACTTACCCATTAAAGGCACAGCTGAGAGTAGCCCTTGCTGCGCATTATCGAGTGAAATGTCGCAGGCTATAGGTGGCATTAATATGCTGAAGCCGAAGATGTCCATGTACATGGCCAGGATGGTGAAGCAGCATGTTGATAGCATGATTATGTTATATTTACCGAAGCCTGCGTACGGATACAATAATTAGGTCTAGTTTCAAGCTAAGTTAATGTACAAATACTATGTGACTCATTCAGGGGAACGTAATGGTGGTTAGATAGTCAGGTTTTTGTTACGTAGTTAATATTATATATAGCAAAAACGCTGAATTAATGAACACAAATTATTTTTTAACTTTTAGCGGGAAATCAGTCCGAGCGTGGTCTTGGCACATACTTATGGGTTATCACCGAGGGGGGAGGGTTAAAAGTCTAAAAAATGGGTCGCGTAGTATAGGTACCTTCCCTAACTTGCTCTATAATACTAATATACTAATCTAATTATTATAATATTCATAAGAAAAGCTGACTTAGAATGATCTTTCCAGTCAATCTAAAAGTTTTGATAAATATTTTTTTTTGTTATGAAGATTACTTGACGATGTATATATTTATATATATTTCATGCCGCCATACATGTCCAAAAAATAGTTTTAAAATGGAAACAGAATTATGTGGAACTGCGAATGTTTGTTCTGGGTTTTAAAAAATTGGTGTAAAGTATAGAAAAATGAAATCCTGTAATGGTCTTTTGTGGACCACATCGGATTCAGTCTACTTCACCTAAAACGGGTAGACTTTTGACTATCGTCACTTTGAACATAGAGATGATTTCTTTTTAAATTGTCAATAGTAGTTTAGTTGATGTCCCTATGCTGACCGCGAGATTTGATTGAAGAATTTGAAGAGGATTCCTAGCTATTCTCTCTGCTAATAATGACATATAATAATAATAAAATAAATTAAATAGCAAATGATTGGCTTATTGTGTCAACACAGATCGCCAAGTAGCAGACCGAACACAAAAAAAAGTTGTAGTTTAGAGCATTGGTCATCTAATGTGGTTGCCACGGTCTCTGTTAGTATGGGTAAGACGCTGACGTCTCTGACTTGTTTGGTTTTTAAAGCACATTACAAATGTCTGAAGGCTTGATATTCATCGGATAGAATTTAAGCAAGCCTTTTCTCAAATCAATCTGTTAAGGGCCAATTACGCTTTGGAACCAGGGTAAGCCAGCACCATATTTAGGACAACAAAGGAATAAAGGGACAATACCGATAACCCAAAGGAGGAGGACGGTTTATTTAAAAAAAAATTGGAACGTAATTGAAAAAGAACCATAATATAATATATTAAACTCAAAGAACGTAACCTATACAATGACAATGAACTAATCATAACTGAGTTGCAGGCGTTCATGGGCGGCAGTAGTCGCTTTCAAAAAAAAACTGAAAATACTACGATGCAACGAACTCGACGATGAAATTACTTACATATTCATTTACTTGCCTTATGCCAGTGTGCATGTTATATTGAATACTTATCTAAAGCAGCTATTGGAGAGTTTAATAAACAAACACACATTATTTCATAATATACTTCGTGCACCGAATGGTGTTTTATAACATGTTGTAAACGCACGTGGGCATTCATAAGAACAGTGTATACAGTATAAGAAAATAGACCCTTTCGAACAAAGAGATCGAACAAGTTTTTCAACAAGTTTATGTCAATGTGTAAAAAAATCATTTTAGAAATTATAGTCACTGGCTGAATTTCTGTAAGCCGTTATGGTAAAAAGTCAATCTTCCTAAAGCGAATATAAAAATAATAAGTTTAGATTGCTTATGGATGAATTACAATGCTATTTTATTTATATTCCTGCAATAACGTGGTTGCCAGCGCTCCACATCAGACATGTCTAAATATAGCTACATCTTTATTATGATTGTACCATATTTATGTAAAAAAAGAATATTAAATGTCATGTGTCATGTGTGTGTGTCATGTCATGTAAGGTCAAGCCACAAACTAAAAATTCTAACTTTACCCATTTATAAAATTTGTTGAGCTTAGTATTATTTTTCAAGCCTGTGGACCAATAAAACACAAAAACTTTTAGTAGTTTTTAGTTTATATATAGTTTTTAGTAGTTTATTATCTGGCCACATATAAATATCCCATTTTGTTCTTACATCGCTGAATAGTTTTTTGGCATCTTAAAACATAAAATTTCACAAATTCTTCACTAAGCTCAAAAATAGTCCGCGCTTACATTGGACATAAATCAAATATGATTACAAAATTAGTATCTCAATGATAGAAATTCTCTTGAAACTAAAATAAATCAGTTTAATTTATTTTAAATTTAAACATACATACTTTTTCTATTTTGTTTAGTGCAGGACAAGCTTTAGCCCAAATGAAAACAGTGGCTGGTTCCCAATTTAAAAATAAAATTCTTGGAGAAAAAAAAAACAAATGAATGCCGTCCATTTAATTTATTAATGTACGAATTTTAAACATTGCGTTCGGCTCGAGAAAATTCTTAAATGTATAAATGCCTTCCTTTTTTAATAAATTTATTATTTGTAATAATATAAATATGTTACTTGTATTTAATTTCAAAAAGTGTTCGTGGCCAGTTATTGTCAAGAAGGAATATAAAGCTTCGGATTGAAGATCTAAATGAATATAATAGCGTGGTGAGTTTTTAAATTTATATTTTAAATTAAAGCATAATAATATGGTATTCTTTTACATCTCCATTTATGATTATTATTAATAATAATTTTTGCGATGGTATAAAAACAGAATTAAACGGTGGTAATATTTATTATGTAAAATATTTAGTAGTAGTCTTGTTATATTTTGTACAGGACTGCCCGAAAAATGAGTCTAATTTTTAGAATGTATGTGATTTTCTAAAATCCCGAATACATTTGAATGTATGGGTAGAATCCCCGCATCAGTTCGACTGTCGTAGGTTGTAATTTTCTTTATAAAAATTCAGAAATTCTTTTACGTTTAAACCTTTCAAAATTTGTTTTTACAAAATGAAAGCAAAAAATTGAAAAAAACGTAGATACTCACCTGTCAAATCTAAAGCAGTTTCAAAACTGTATTTCTTTGACGCATCATCTCCTGTGGCGACCACCATTTTTAAGAAACTTTTGAAAATAGAATTTAGCAGTTTTACTTAAAGCACACGCATTTCGTTGTTACGAAGTATAATAAGTAGGATATATTGTAAACAAAACTTATAATAATAATTATAATGTAATTTTAACTTAACACATCTTACAAACGGCCGTCTGATCACAAACTAGGCAGATCCTATACTATGGTAATCAGACTACTGATAAAAATACTTTTAGACAGCGGTTTTGTAAAAAAAATGAATATGCTCGCAGTCATATATGTAAATAGGTGGAATATTATTGTTAATGAATAATAAAGCAGACTACACGCTTGCTATAGATTTGCATATTAATTAATCGAACCTGTTACTGCCTTCGTTCATAATAATGATAATTATAAGTTTTGATGTTACACGGTTACCGGTGTCTATTAAACTTGCAACCTAGCAATTCCTATGGTGCTTTGACGGGCTTGTTTGTTTAGTAGCTAGTGACCTTGACTGCCAAGCTGGAGGTCGTGAATTCGATTCTCACCCAGGTCAAATAATTGTGTGATGATCACGATCATTGGTTCTGTGCTTGGGAGTAATTTATTTATAAAATGTATGGATATAGAAATATATGAGTATGTTTATCATGGTTACCATAGCACAGGCTTTGCCTAGTTTGAGATCGTAATGCCGTGTACGAGATGCGTGAAATTATTATTATCAATCATATAGTGTTTTTTAGAAAGCCCTTGCAATCATAATTACCAAAAAAAGCACTTTAGATATTTACCGTGATCCTGTTTAGAGCAACAATCTGACGTACTCTAACTCGGAATTACTTGTCACTTTATTATTTCTATAGGCTGTCGATTAATTTGTACTTTTACATTATTTTTACTATCTACTTAATTTTTGAATTACAATTTGTTGAGTATAGCACACTGTTTGAGGCACCAATTCAGTATCATGTGTTACAAACATACATGAAACGGACAAAAAGAACACCCAGACTCAGAACAACAATTTATGGATCACACAAAGTGTAGTAGGTAAATTATAGACGACTGTTCGGTTCCATAATCGGTTTAATAATGTTATTAATAAGTATGTGCAGTTACATATAAGTTAAGGCGAGCCGCACACTACACCTCCCCTTTTTATGAAAAAATGATTTATCCTATAATCTTGATCTCAAAATCATACTCTTCAAGATATAATCTAAAGAACAATGGCAGGTCCCCATACCTAATTTTATTTGAACTGAAATGGTAGCGAAATATTTAATCAAAAATGTCTAAAACACTTGAGAATTTATTCTTGACCATTCTCATAACAAAATTACTAGCGAAAGAAGTCTAGGAAAAAAGATATTGTATTTGGAATGTTTCGAGGTTAAGTACTAACATATTGTCAGTGTTTTGTTTGATACTAGATGGCGTTGTGTCTCATAAAATCGAAAATATTATTCTCATTACTATTACTCATAAACAACCCTATTTTGCTGTTGAAAGTGTTAGCCGACTCTCTAAAAGGGTGCAGGTTATTTTACCAATACATAGTAAAACAATAGAAAAACCTCTTCGCTCACCAAGAAGGTGTAATACTAGCTATAAATAAATAAATAATAAATTCAAAATAATTATTCGTTTTTTTTTTTGTACTTCAATACACATTTACACAAGACAGAACCAATTTAATTATTTATTTATTGGACAGCTAGTAGTTGTTACATTATTTACTAAAATCTAAAACATGCATACGTTATATTGAGTTTAATGCACAACATTTTAAGGCGTCACATCGTGCATGCATAATAGACTATACGAATCGACTATATAAAAACATAACATATGTATATGCGAGTTTAACACTACATTGAAAAATAATAAAAAAGCAAAGAATTGCCGTGTCATTGCTTGGTCATGAAGTCATGCGTGTGAGTGTCAAACGACAAGACTGGTGAGTGCGGCACTCGACAGGATCCAAATGGCGACGTATCGACATTTTGAAAATATCGATGTATGTCTATTTATGAGCTTGTTTCAAAGACAATGTTTTTTTCTCATCACACTGTGCAGTACATTGTTATACTGCAAACATTGTTAAAATAAAGTAACTATATTCTATTAATTTAGTCTAGCAAAAATCGTTTAAAAAGAGTATATTAAAATATTCTAAATTATTTCTAATTATGTTGATTTAGTCATTCTACCGTGCAGTTGGGCAGAAGCAAAATCATTATCATAAAAGGTGATTCGGTAGATATTATATTAGATAAAAATCGATTATCGATAAAACGTTTCATAATATAATATTGCCACCACGCATCCCTAGTCGGTTATACGTGATGGCGAATCTGACATTACGTACTTAGTCAAATAAAATCTTCAAAAATATCCGATCTCTTACAACACATGGTGGTGTAATGATAAATCATAGAAAAAATATTTATTAAGTTTATTGTGAGTCATTTTTTTAAACACTTGAATTTTAGGTAAACATGTTTCTGCCATTGTTCTTTAGTAAGTCGGCTTCAAGGATTGGTCATATTGAATAAATAAATTAAAGGTGTATGGTCTGTCGTAATATAAAACTTTTTGCCATATAAATAAGGTCTAAAATGTCGTACCGCCATTACGATAGCAAGTAGTTCTAACTTAATCACTGGGTATCGCGTTTCAGTAGTTTTTTAGGCAGTTACGACTGGCATACGCGACAACCTTTCCATTGCTATTAGACAGTACGGCACGTAAGCCTTGTTTTGATGCGTCAGTCTGTAGCGTAAAACCACGGTACAATTATAATAATTGTACCGTGGTAAAACTGTTACTCTAGGTAAAGTCCGGATAATAAAGTACAGTCGGACTCACGAGTATCTCTTTCAACCTAAAGAACGCTAGCTCACATTCATCACTCCACACAAACGCTACATCTTCTTACATAACGCATTCAAAGGCTAAGCTATTGCAGCGAAATTCGAAATAAAACACCTGCAATAGTTAGCAAATGCCACGAATCTTTTTACTTCGTCGACATTCTGCGGCTTAGGATAGTTGTGAAGACACTCTATTTTTGATGGATCGGGGAATATACCTTCAGAAGTAATCTTGTGTCCTAAATAAACTATTTCCTTACCCAAGAACTCGCACTTAGAAGGGTTTAATTTTAAATTAACCTTCCGCAAACATTCTAAAACTTTTATAAGGTTCTTGTTATGGGTCTCAAGACAATTTCCTACTACTGTACAATCGTCCTGGTACAAAAAACATGCCTTATAATTTAATCCTGACATTGCCACAGTCATGAGACGTGCGAAAGCTCTAGGTGACGTCCTTAAACCTATTGGGCATCGTCTCATCTGATACTGTTTATCAGTAGTAAATGCAGTGAATTTTCTCGATTTTTCCTCTAAAGAAAGTTGATAAAAACTTTGACTAAGATCTAATTTCGAAAAGTAGATATTATTCGACAGTGAATCTAATATCTCAGTAATGTTCGGTAATGGAAATTTATCGTCCTGTATTTTATTATTAAGTTGACGATAGTCCACTACAAGTCTCCATTTCCTTTCTCCTGACCTATCTGACTTTTTAAGAACCAAAAGGACGGGACTAGACCATTCCGAAACTGTCTCTTCTATGATATCGTTCTTTAACATATCACTTATTTGCCTTTGTACCTCGCCTTTCAGTGCATTCGACAACCGACAAGGCTTAACGTACACAGGAGATGTATTTTCCTTTAATTTAATAGAATGTTCTAATACATTTGTAGTAGTGAGTGTGTCTCCCGGTAGGTGGAAAACATCAGTATACTTCGCACATATGCTTTCAATACTTCGTTGTTCCTCCTTATTTAGATGTAAATTTAATTCTAAAGTACTAAGCAAAGTTTTGACTCTCTCTGTAGTACCGGTATTATAGTCAAACCTACAAACGTTAAAATGCTCTAAACAACTAGTACTTATATCCGAAAAAATTATATTTACCGAAATATTAGTGGTATTTAAAATCCTCACAGGAATGAAACCATTGCGTGGTTTCGATACAATACCCACTGTGTAAATACCTTTATAAATTTCTTTAGACAAAATTACGCAATCACTATCTTGTGACGTCGGAAAATGTTTTATTACTTTGCAACGAGGCGGAATTGTAAACATATTGTTACTACTACTATTAACTGGAATATTAACTGATTGGTCTCGGTTTACTAAACTTAAAGTACCATCTTTATAATTTATCATCCCGTTATACCTCATAAAAAATCCTGACCGAGAATGCCTTCTGCGGTACAAGATAAGTTCTCGAAAATATAGAACTTTTGATTAAACTCTACGCCGTTAATAATAATATCTAAGTAAATATATCAAAGAGATTCTAAAATTCTAAATATCCACTAATCCCCTTAATAGCTATCTTATCCTGCTGCATTAAACCTAACAAACTCTCGTGTCGCGACAACCATTCATACTTAAGCACACATAAACTCGCTCCGCTATCTATTAATAAATCAAAATTACGAGTACTATTTCTAAGTTGACCAGTATCTATACAAAAATTATTAAAACTAAAAATGGAATGAGTGCATTCCTTAGGGACGAAAAAATTATAAGTTATTGTCGTCGTTGTCTTTGCTATTACCTCGATGTATAAATAACGAGGGTCTTTGACCGCTACTCGTGCCATTGTACTCTTTGCTATTTATTTTATTCCTATTAAAATTATTATAGAAGTGATTATTACCTCGGCCACGAAAACCTCGTTTATTAGTGAAATGTCGCCTATTATTTTGGGCACACATAAAATGTTCGTCTACCGCGGTTCTTATAAGGTAAGGCGAGCCGCACACTACAGTGTTGTCTCATGTGGGGATCGGACCCACAGCACTCAGCGCAGTAGGAAGCGGCGAGGTGACCGCTTTAACCACGAACCTAGTCACCTGTGCTGTTACATCGTCCACCTTAACATCAACACATCATGATGATGTTAAGGTGGATCACAAGTTTCAATTTGTGATCTATCTTTATATTATATAATATATGTATAGATACGTATATGCTAACGTTTTTACTCCCTCCTTAATATCAAACCATTCATCATGGTTTTTCGCATAGGTAACGCGTCGCCAGGAATAAGTACAGAGAAGGAAATTTTTCATCCAGAAACTTTTACTGTCTCAGAATTACATTAAAAGAAGATAATTATTCATAAAAAAAACAACTTCTTGAAAACGTACGCGTATAGGTACTTAAAATTTATAAATTCGCGATTTTAATATTTATATATCCGGTGTCACTCTCACAATTAAAACGAATCTAAGGACAATTCCCAAGCTAAAATCATCAAATCGTTTAGACTACAGAGCGTGCCAAAGAAATATACATACATACACGCGACAAACTGATAACTGCTAAATGCTGCATACATGCATGGGTCTGTTTACAACTATGTGTGTGTATAGTGTACATAATAATATTTGCACGGTATGGTGTAGGCAGGTGTTGCATTCATTTCTTTGTGTCTCTGACATAGAGAAGGTAAATACTTCTTTTGTGAGTATAACCATTATCTCGAACAGTCGAGACAAGAAATATTTGTTCCCATTATCGCAGTCCACTGCTGAGTTTAGGGCTCTCCCATTGCACGCCACTAAGATCGATTTTGGGCTTCTCGCATCCTGCCCTGGCCTGTGGGTGTCCTACACTACGTTTGCCGAGACGCGGTCTCCACTCAAGACCTTGTTTTCCCCAACGGTTGTCGGTTCTACGAAAATATTTTTTTCAATTTAAAGACTTCAATCACATGGCTGACTTTGTGCAAGGGTACACTGAATTCCCATTTATTAATGTTGAAAAAAAATGACAATTGCGTGTCGGCTATGCACAGTGCAGGGTTGCATTAATTTATTACTGCCTTTTCACCGAGTGAGTACCGAAGTCCAAATCTCCCGTGATTCCTCAGAATCATCGTCTGCTCATTGGCCCCCTATTAAATAATAATAACAATTTCATCTAAGTAATTTTTTTCAGCATTTTTTATTTTTTACAAACAATTTGGAATAGAACAGTAATGTAAAACAGTATGACAGAGCTAACTTAATTAATCGTAAAACTTTTCCCTCTTAAATTATTTATTGTCATGATACATATAATAGAATTGTCACTTGTAAGTGTCACATAATTGTAAACTAACAACATATAAATGTAAAGTTTATATGAACAAACAACTGGTCTGAATTTAGGATAATATTCGTACTATGTTTTAGTTTTTTCTTGATTTGTAAGCTAAACATTAGTGTATTCACAGCTAGCTGTCATAACAGTACATCTTGTCATCGGTGAGTGAGGGAGTCCGTCACAATATTAAGTACTCGAAATAGTATTTAAACTACAAATGCATATTTAATGAAATTTAGAAGTTTTCTTATTTATGTTATGAGTTCTCGGTTAGTGAAACTTGAATCATTCGACAAATCCGTTGGCACCTTTTCACTCACGTTTTTACGACATCTGAAATACTAGGTGTCCAAGAACGCAAAGAGGTAGATAAATTCCACTCTCCGTACTTCGGAGTTACGAAATCTGTCACTACCTAGTAAAAACATTTTTTTTACAGTTCTTGAATAAAAAAAGTTTCGCCTGTTTCTTGACTCTTGCAATAACGTGCCAAATTACTATACTTATTTTTTTTACAATGGGAGTAATCCCACCTTTATACCTAGCGCTGTTGTCCCTGCAAACCGTGGGTAGCAGCATTTTGACACCCAAAAAATTCTTGGTTTAATTTGCCTAGTCTTATCTACACTTACTACAACTACTACCACAACCATTTTAGATCCTTTGTAGCGCAAATTCTGTCTAACTATCTGAGCTAACGGATGTCATACTGTCAAAAGGTATTTGGCTGCGGTAGTTATATAAAAAATTACAATTTCATTCTTCATAAGGGAATAATAAAAAAAATGGAGTTTGCGCCTAGCGATACATTTAGCTTTTCATCTTTAATTATACAGACAGTGAACTTGGAAATAAGGCAGCAAAACAAAGCCACAAATATAATACATAACCATAACGCTACAAAGTGCTCCTAATTCTCCTCGTGATTCTTTAAATATGCTTAACATTTCATTACATTATTTACCTTAAAATATTGTGTATTATGTCTTAAAGTATTACAAATTACATCTTATCGTTATCAGGTTCATACATATATGGGTCATACTCAGAAAAATGTACATTTGCCATTTGTTAATAAACTGATAAGTAACGAAATGGAGAAGGAATGTGACGAAACTGATATTGTTAAGCTGGGTACATACTGAACAGAACACGCATAATTAATCTAAATAAAAACACAATATCTCAGAAATGTAAATTAGGCTCATCCTACCCGACGGGAATAAGTGAATATTCCAACGATACGAATATATCATTAAGACTAAAGAGCCCTAAGCCTTTTTAGTTGTTTAGTTAAGTTAGTGTGACGTAGCGCTTGAGTGCTACTCTTGAAGAACAAGTACAAAGTGTATTTTCATTTGAGTAGGAACCATAAGAAAAGTATCAATGGACGCACTCTTTAAGTATATTATAATTTTTTAGCTAATAAATTTAAATTACTCATTACGCCTAAAGGCTTGATTGCAATTATTATGGGGGACCATCCAGCTACAAAATAATGAAAAAAAACTCAATTGTATGAATCAGTATGTACGAGTATATATTATACTCGTACACACTGATATCCTTTACTGATATACAATTGAGTTTTTAAGCTGGCAATGGTTTTGTAGCTGGCAATTGTAGGTTTAGTAGTAGTTACAAATTAAATTCAATTACAGTTTTCTCGTTAAATTACAAATTATTGTTCAAAACATAAAAATAACTAAGAATCATACACATTTCTAAAAAATCAATTAAATAATCGGAGTAATGTTGTCAAAATTTAATCGGGCCCTTCCATATTTCGAGCAACGAAAGAAAACAAGTTGTCAAGAACCGTTAAGACCAAATTGAAAAACAATAAGCAAGATAGTAATAACAATATTTCTTAAAAATAATATAATCTTTCACAATGAAAATCAGTCTCAAATCTCCATAACAAACAAATTTGTAACAAAAACATATCAACGTTACGTACTGCTCCATTGTTTAAATATTGTGGTAACTGAAGAATCAACTTAATAAAATAATAATATTATTGGTTATAATTAAATAAAAATAGAAATAAATATAGAATTATAATTAAATAAAAAATATCCTAAATACTCGACTACTCTGCACATGTACCCACACAAATAGTAAAATAATAAGTCAATCATATTTTTTTTAGTTCAACCGAAATATATTGTTATGTTCGGGAATCAAGCCCGTCATTTTCATTGTACCACGATTACACTTCTGTTCCCCTAAATTAATGTAATAAAATTTTAATAGATAGTAATTAATTTTTCAAATTAGAGTAACTTCGTAAACTCAGGTTTACAATTTCTCAGTTTAGTAACATAACGCAATATAACTAAACTGAAGACAAACTCTGAGAAATTATAACCCCGAAAAATAATTCTGTTAGTACCACTTATTGTATACACAATAACTGAATTTATTTGTCTATATATTAGGAGTACAAATAAGTTTCCGCCGTTTTATTATAGGTGGCGTGCCACGGAGTTTCGGTTAGCTTTCTTAGCTTTTTACTTGAAAATGTCAAAATTTGAGCCAAGTAAGCGTCATTTGCGGGAAATATTAGTTTACTTCTTTAATTTAAAGAAATCTGCTGCTGAGGCGCATCAATTGCTCGTAGAAGCATAATGGTGAGGGTGCTTTGAGTGAGAGAACGTGTCGAGAGTGGTTTCAAAAGTTTAAAAACGGTGATTTCGACGTAGAAGACAAAGATCGCAGTGGAAGGCCAAAAATTTACGAGGATGCAGAATTGGAGGAATTATTGGTGGAAGATTCATCTCAAACACAAAAAGAACTTGCTCTAACATTAGAAGTCACTCAGCAAGCAGTCTCACATCGTTTAAAATCATTAGGAATGATTCATAAACAAGGAAATTGGGTTCCGTACGAATTAAAGCCGAGAGATATTGAACGCCGATTATGCTTAAGTGAAATGCTGCTAGATAAACATAAAAAAAAGGGTTTTTTACATCGTATCGTAACTGGTGATGAGAAGTGGATACATTATGACAATCCAAAAAGAAGAAAATCATGGGGATTAACTGGCCACGCGTCAACATCAACAGCAAAACCGAATATTCACGGAAAAAAACTTATACTGTGTATTTGGTGGGATCAGCTAGGTGTAGTGTATTATGAGTTGCTTAATCCGAGCGAAACAATTACTGGAGCCCTCTATCGAACACAATTGATGAGATTGAGCCGAGCTCTGAAGGAAAAACGCCCTCAATACTATTCTAGACACGAAAAAATTATTCTTCTGCATGACAATGCTCGTCCACATGTTGCGGCTCCCGTGAAAAAGTACTTGGAAACACTTGATTGGGAAGTGATACCCCACCCGCCGTATTCACCAGACATTGCACCGTCCGATTATCACCTGTTCCGGTCCATGGCACAGGCTCTGACGGCGCAGCGGTTCACATCTTATGAGGATACCAAAAATTGGGTTGATACGTGGATAGCCTCAAAAGACAAGGAGTTCTTCAGAAGTGGGATTCGAATGCTGCCTGAGAGATGGGAAAAAGTGGTTGCAAGTGATGGGCAATATTTTAAATAAATTTATATTACCGTTCTTCTATATTAAATATTTAATTTGTGTTAAAAAACGGCGGAAACTTATTTGTACCCTTGTATAATATACAAAAAACAGGACACTCAAATGCCGTAATGTTATAAAGTAATAGTTACTTGCAGGTGAATACAAGATTTTATGTAATACCAGTATTTGCCAGAGGTTTCGTTCGCTAAAAAAATAATTTGCGACTAATGGTAGTGACAAAACCTACGAAAACGTCGACTCGATGGAGTGGAATAAGAAGGGCTCGATCAACACCCTACCTCTTTTAGCCTATCGGGAGTAGGCGCAGGCACTTCGAGCGAAGAGCCCAGGGCGTCCCGCAGCTTGGAGCCGTCGAGGCACAGTTGCTTGTTGAGCAGCAGCTCCACGCCCGCGGACGGCTCCAGGGGGGTGTGCTCCAGCGAGTACTTGCGGCAGATGTCGGCCCACGCCGTCAGGTGCTTGTCGTTAGCTTCCTCCGCCACCGACGCGATGTCGGTCTAAGGAACAACACTGTATTCATTTACACTGTACTCGATACTAGTATTAAGTAGTAGTAGTAGTAGTAACCTCCTTTCAAGGAGAGGCTTATGTCCAGCAGTGGACTATTAATAGCTGTTGATGATGATGATGATACTAGTATTGTATACATCCAGTAAAGTGTAACAAGGAGGGAATATTAAAGTTTTCCAATTATTAAGATCGAAACTATTGCAATACATGTAGGTACTATACTACGTTATCTGTTTTATCGGACAAACGGTATGAGAGTGGAACGATTGTGGTATACATCAAACTATATTGATATTATATTTTGGATACGTAATGACTCCTTCAATATTAGAATTAAAGTGAAATCAATATCATATATAATCAATATGTTAGTTTTTGACACACAATGGATGGGACGGGATGTTATTGTGACACTTTTTACAAGAAACATGTTTATGCTGAGAATAGTGATGTGCCAGCTATATGGGGGTATAAGATGATCTAAATCCGTATCAGTTACCTTTTCGCATATCCTTAACGGATCTTTTACTTTGGTATCGTAAAATTATTTTAATGTAATTATTTATATATTTAACATTTTATGCACAAAATTGTACAAAGGTGAATTTAATGCCATAGGCATTCTCTACCAGTCTACCTTAGGGTGGTGTAAATATGTGTGATTAAAAGTTGTTTCCTAAATGATTTGGTCACAAAAGGTCTTGGCGTGTGAGTGAACGCGAGTGGTTGCCATTCGCCAGCTTTCAGCTGTTGAAGAACTGCGGTGGTGTTTTGTCTACAACACGAAGCCCGCTCACCAAGTCGTTTGATATCAAGTACTCCACGAGGTTCCGGCCAATGAAACCGCACCCTGTATCAGAAACACACGTACATTCGTATAAGAACCTTCTCAGTCCGGATGACTAACACTCTTGAGACCGTTACGAGAAATAAAAAAAAATACACGTCACTGTTGTACAAGTATAACGTTATCAATTTTAGAGAACTCTAAATGATTTTTAGAGCAGTATATTAAGATTACAATTATCAATTACCTCCTAAAACCACAACTCGTGGTTTTGAATTATCACCGGCAAAATCAGACATTTCGCAAAAATGAATGACAGTTAGGAAGTTGAATTGACAGCTGATGAAACTTTAAAAATAAAAAATGTTGCCAGCACAAGCTATTTTTATCCTGCTTAAGTAGTAGCAATTGTTTGCACGGGCAACACGTCACGTGTCGTGAATATAATCCAACAACATACAACGACTATAATATATAAGATCTTAATACATATTACTTAGATACTTAATATTCTAGTAATATTTTATCACATATTGAATGTAAACATAAAGAAAAATAGACACAGATCAAACTGTTACATATAATTTCAATATTAATGACACCAACAGAATTGGTAGTAATAGTTTTGTTTATTATTATAAAGATTCATAATATATTCATAATATATTGTTATAATATAATAGATTTATAGGAAACATTAGTAGTATTAACGACTAATGTTTCCTATAAAACTTTCCTATAAAAATAAATGAAGTTGATGAACAATACTTCTATTAATGTTATTGACATATTATTGATTGAATTTATAATTATGATTTTGCCAATTTCTAAATAAATTATTGAGAAGTATAAACCTTTTCTTATATGTTAAAATAAAAATAAGAGAATCTCATAAATTAGTTAGATTCACGAATATTTCCAATTTTGCAACACATCTACTCAGGAAAATTCACGAACTGACTGATATTGTGACAGCCAAATAGACTATTTAGTTAGTTTCGTGGTATGCACAGAGTAAAATGAATACTGCTGATGTCTATTCACACAATTATTTATAACTCTGACCTCACGGATGGCGTAGTATTTTAAGCGGTCGCCACACCGCTGGGTTACATGGGTTATATAGCCGCTCACTGTAGATACAGGTAGATAATAAATAAATCTTAGAGAAATTCTGTTACGTTAGGATATTGTTTTACGTTTTGCTGGCTGTTTAAGTGGTTCAGGTTTATACCTGCGAAATGTACTACATAAGTGTTACCGAATATTCGGCGCGTCGGCCAAGAGACGTCCCGAATATTCGTTATTCGGTCTACGGCCAAATCACTATTCGTGGCATCTCTAATTTAAATACTTGATAGATAGGTAACGTAAGTCAATATACGAGTAATGTATCTTATTTCTGTCACCTATGTTTTTTTTTCAGCTCTTGTACAAATATTTTAATTACCTTTATTTAATTTTAGCTTATTAAACTATTTAAAAACTTTGACTTAAAGATTGGATTGGATTATCCCGTTTATAGGCGCATTGTTATCTCAGTAAGTCGTTTAGTAATCATTATCATACTAGTTAAGACTCATTCAAGTCGGCTGAATTTCAAGGTGACAAGGACTTAGGACGGCTCCTTGTCAAGACCGTTTCCCTCTACAGCTACGGACCCCCCTGACTTAAAGATATTTGTATACAAGTTAATGGTTGTTGAGATAGAGCGCATAGAGTACCAACCCTATGTCATGTTTTGTCATAGTTCAAGGTAAATTACTTATGCATCCAATATCGCATTATAGTTTTTAAACTAAATTGTTTGGTTGGTCCATAAAATTTTTGTAAATATATATATATATATAAAATAGTAGATTTTGAGTTTTCACGAACTCTCGTGATATGCTAAATTCTACGCAATTTAAAATTGCTAATAAACGTTTGAATGTTCCATCTGACCACATTGCGGATTTGTCTTTTTATTAATAAAATCAAAATTTTGAATTTGATTGATTAAGAAGAGTATTCTAAAGTAAGTAGGTAGCTGATGATGTAGGGCCATACATATAACATAAATACATGGGAGGTGTTTTTCAACAAACGTAAAAGTACGAGTAATTACCTAGAAGGGTACAGATGTAAAACTCTTTGCTGGTAAAACACCGACTTTAAGAGCAGCAGGAAAAAAATATTAAAATAAGTACGATGTAAATAAGATCAGATAACGATGTTTTAGCTGTAGCTTGTGTTTCCCTAACATTACTGATAGGTTGCTACTTTGATAAATGAGTAGACAACTTTAGTTAATTTACTTATTTATTAACTTAAGTCATTTTAACGATTAGCTGACATATTATCTGTAACAGGAAAATAAAATAGTCAAGCTTCTTACATTAAGTTGTGTATTTTATTAAATAAACAGGTTTAAATTTTTTTGCTTTTTATTATTTGGGGGCAAACGAGCAGACGCCACCAGTTAGCCACTTTCCTACAAGTGAACCGTCTGGTTCACTTGTAGGAAAGTGGCTAACTACCACTGTCCATGGATGCTTGCAACCATAGAGAAAACACGGGGTACAGCTGCCTGTAAGTGGAAGTCATACAGGCAACAAGAGAGATGGATGCCCGATATTTTCCTCTGTCTCTGTTTTGCTAAGCTGAGATTGGATAATTATTAACCCCTCATATTCCCCATCTAACCACAGAGCTCGGCTAGGAAGAAATAGTAGTCCCTGTCTATTATCCATCAATCTCGTTTGCCTATATTGCAAGATTGGGGCTCTTGTTCTCTCTATGCTTGCAACTCAGGAGTCACAAGCGCCTTTGAGGTAGTGGAACGCTGTTTTCTTCAAGGTTTGTTTAATGCTGACTTCTATTTCTTTTGGGATCAGGCGGCAAAAAGGCTGCTACCAGCAGTCCAGCTAAAAATAATAATAATTAGGAACAATATACAGTTCTACATATTATAATAGGTCTTTACCTATGAAATTGCCGTTTTGTATGCAATAAGTGAAAGTACTTATTTTTTCAAACTTTTTAAATTCTGTGTGCAATGTCTGGTGGTCACATCTGCAACCAGCTTTTGTCAATCGGTCGTCCCCACTGAGCAGTGCACTTCACGACAACGCGCGACCCCATACTGCGCAACAGACAGTCTCCAAGCTGCAAGAGTTGGGGTTGGAAGCTCTCCCTCATCCGCGATACTCACCAGACCTTGCACCTACCGACTAGTACTTTTTCCAAAATTTAGACAACTTTTTAGTGGGTAAAAAATTCAGTTACAAAAACCAGTACAAAATGCATTTGAAGAGTTTGTTGCCTCCCGTCCAGCTGATTTTTTTAAGAAGGGAACCAATAAACTGCCAATGCGTTGGCAAAGATGCGTCGATTGCATGGGTGATTACTTCGAATAACAGAAATAAAAAAGTTTGAATAAATAAGTACTTTCACTTATTGCATACAAAACGGCAATTTCATAGGTAAAGACCTAATGTTTACATTTTGATTCACATTGGTTCGAATTCAACTTCCTTGTTCATTTCTTAATGTTAGTTGCTGTATGTAATCTACTTGGATTTGGTTTAAAATTGGGATTAAGCACATCGAGAATGCTGAAATGTAACTTATGATTTTGATACATATAAAGTGCGTATTTCGCTTCAAAGATGAAAAAATGATAATTGTTTTTTATGCTTACAAATATTTAAAGCTATAAATCCACTCATCATTGCCGTACAATGGTTTGCTAGAAGATTTGCAATCAACTGCACGCTGATAAACGCAAACCCACGGGCCACCACCACTGAGAGACATGTTGCCATTCCTCTGTAAGAAGTTCATAATAAAAGTTGATATAATATATAATTTATAATGTAATACGAGCATTTGTTTTGTGTCTGGGTGTAATTTACCTAAAATGTGTATGTATTTAGAAATATTTCAGTATGTTTATTAGCGGTCTGGTCACCATAGTACAGTCTCTGTCTAATTTGGGATCAGACTGCCTTGTGAAATTTACTATTATTTCGTCACAGTAGAAAGAGCTAAGCCATAATAGGTGGATAGAACATATTAAGAGTCAAGTTACTTCCATACCTATCTACCAACATTTTTGAGAAAAACACAATTTCTACCAATTGACTACACCAGGAATTGAAAAAAGTTAGAAATATCTCTTATTTCTTACCGTAAATGTGTCGGATTCAATTCCACCAAGTACGTATTAACATTCCCCAAAATCAGAGCAACATACAGGAAGAAAAAGAATAACCCTATGCTTAACAAAGGTATTTTCGAAAACAGCAGCAGGATACCACACACGATCGCTATGACAAACACCATAAGTGTGGTGAACTTCTTGCCAAGAGGACCAACTATGAAAGATATAACAATTCCAAGGCATGTTGCCATTGCGGAGTAACACATTACTGCGTAGAATGTTAATGGCTGGATGATGTGGTCACAGTCTCTAGAAGCCTGAAAGAGATGAAATAGCAACAATGATATAAGATTTATACTAACAATACCAAAACTACACATTACGTTTCAATTTTATTACAGAAATGAATGTGATATTCACGTTTACAAAAAAGTAACCATCTAGTACCACAAAAAAATAACCAACCAGTAGTGCCATCTAGTCTGGCAACGTGAAACTAGATAATAACTCCTGGTTCTGTAACGCGCATTTAAAAATATCGAGTTTATCTTTATAGTAATGCACCCTGTACTACTAACTGTACCCTACCACGCTTAGCTTAGCTTAGCATATTGTTGTTGCATGGATGAAATTATGAAATAAAGAACAAAACTGACGTGAAAAACAGATAAAAACGATCTTGGAAGCGGTTTGAACCTCCTTTCTAAGGAGAAGCCTATGTCCAGCAGTGGACTACTAAAAGCGGTATGTACATCTTGACAAAATTTGAACTCAATTGGTGAAGAACAACTTAACATTTTTATAAAATATAGATTTGTAAGTAAATAAAAAAATATCCTTTTCAGTTGGAAAATATTCAAAAATGGATTACCGTTTGGTGATTAACTGCACTGCGACTGGAAACTTCACAGAAGCTGCGGCCTGAAGTATCTTCACCCATAAAGAACTCATTTGTCATCGTTGGAACCCACATCGAAAAACCAGTACACCTGAAAGAATGTCATAGAAGTTGAAATGAGTCGTTACCTACCCAACAAAACTGTATTTTTGCAAAGCTTAGGTTACTGAATTTAGAATATTTTTGTTCTCTCTTTATTCTACGTTCTTATAATACACAGAAATTCATGACGTGGGTTTAAGTTTTAGAAAATTTGA